TCTTCTTTTTATTGCTCACCTCCGTGAGGGTATGTGCTGGGCTAGCCCCCTACTTTTTCACAGCTTGGCTTTCCCAAGCCTTCACTTCGCCTAGGGTTTTCCCTGCTTTAAACATCTTCAGAGCTTCCTTGGCCAACTTGTTGTTGTGCTCCTTGCCTTTGTGGGAAAGAAGCTGCATAACCTGCCTCCCCCCTGGCACCCTCAAGGCCACAGCACCAGTCTTGTAGGTCATGAAATTCAAGGCCTGGTCTCCCATCACCCAGTCATCTGGCAACCTTTCCTCTTGACAGGCAGGCTTCTTACCCAACTTCTTTGAAGCAGCAGGTCTGGCCTCAGGCTTCTTACCCAACTTCTTTTCAGAAGCAGCAGGTCTGGCCATAGTCTGCCTGAGGGCCCTCTTCCTGGTAGGCACAGGCATCACATTCTCTGCTTCCTCCAGCAAAGAATCTTGGGTTGCAGGGACTTCAAACTCCTTCAAGAAATCATCTGTCGCAATGCTCTTGGCAGGAGACACCACCTTGCCCAATGGCAAATCATTGGTCCACAGTGCTTTAGGGCTATCCAGCCCATATGGGCAATGAGCCCAAAAGCTTTTTAAGCGCCCACCTTCTTGCCAACCTAGTGCTTTAGGGCTATCCAGCCCATATTGGCAATGCAGGGCTATCCAGCCCAAAAGCTTTTTTAGCGCCCACCTTCTTGCCAACCTTCCTGGGAGAGGAACCTTCCCCTGCAGGTTCATTGAAGAAGGCCCAAATCTCTTCCAGCTTTTCCAGCTGGAAATGGCTGAGCTTCTTCCCAGCCTCCAGGTATTTGGCTTTATCCCTGCCAATTCTCCTGCAATGGTTGCACACCACCAGCAAAGCATCAGCAAGTGTCTTCCATAGTGTTCCCTGCATTGACAGTGGGAAAGAGTCCTTGATGCCTGGAAAATCCTTCAGGATCTGCTTGAGCGCCTCTGACAGGTCACTGTACTTGAACTGGAGGGAGGGCTCAACCTTGTACAGGCTCTTTATCAAAGGCAGCAGGTCCACCAAATCCTGGCCCACGACAGCCTGTTGCCTTTCCAGGTTGAGGTATTTGCCCAAAGCGAAAGCACCTTGCAGGCCAACAGCCTTCACATGGCAAACCAAACTGTCAGCTAAGTGGTTCAGGTCCACCTCTGGGACTTTCTCCCTTCTGGCACCACCCTTTGGCATTTTGAGCAAGACCTTTGCACATATTGCTTATGGGGGGCCTTTCCAGACCTTGGATTGTGGAGGGGCTCTCCAGCCCATGGATTGTCCAGCCCATGGATTGTGGAAGGGGCTCTAGCCCATGCCCCAAATCAAAAGGCTATCCAGCCTATATGTGGACATGTTTTGTGGGTGTGTCAGCAAAGTTAGCTAGCTTGAGTATAGTCCTTGGAAGATTCAAAAATTCAATTGAATTTTTCAATCGAATTTTCAATCGTGTTTTCAATAGAAAAAACATCTTTTTCAATCGAGAAATCAATCGAACCTAGAAGTTCTGCTATTGAATTTTGTTTGAAAAAATCAATCTTCAATCGTATATTGAAAAAGGGAAAAATACAATATTGCAATTGAATTTTTTCAATCCAGGATGCTTTGGGTAAGAAAGATATTCCGATTCGTTCCCAGCTACACCGGAAACCGTACCTCGATCAATCATGAGCTTGTTTTTGTTCATGTCCGTGGCCTGTTTGTGGAACAGGAATATATGTATATATATATATATATTATAGCCGTGCGTGCTTGATATGTGATGCAACGAGTTCTGCTCACCACTGACCACTCTCCATTTTGGTGTATGGCGGGTGATGCTCCTGAAGTTTCCGCAGCCTCACATGCTGGACCCCAATGCACTCCAAGTAATCCCTTGTTCCTATTAATAAACGTACCCCAATTAATAAAAACACATGTGCCCGACCCCAACAAATTGTTAGTAGCGTTTTGAAATTGCTCGCTTTGAAATTCAATACTCGTGGGTCCACAGTCGGGGGTGCCCCAGATTTTAGGTGTATTAGGGGGACAGCAAAAATAACCCGAATTCCCCCTAATATTAAAAACATCTCCAATCCTCCCCCAAAAATACCTCTCTCCCTCTCTCTCTTCGGCGAGACCGCGAGACCCTGGTTCTCCCTCTCTGTCCCTATCAACAGTTGGTCTAGGAAACCAACAAGAGGGGGAAGACCTTCGATTTGACCCTTTGTTGTTTTTTTGATGGTCGTTTTAACAAGGATTTTATATAATTAATTAGATTGGGAACCCAGTGATTTTCTTTCGAGACCCTACTTTTTATTAGGGCGAACAGAACATTGCCCATTTGGGGGTACAACAGGTGCCCCTCAATAATAAACACCCCCTATTAGTAAAAACACCCCAGGGTCTTTATTAATAGGGGGGGGGCCGTTTATTATTAGGGAGAGGGGATTACCTTGCATGAGGTTATTGAAGTGTATATGCAGGACCTGTGGGCGGTTGCAAAACTCAATCGTTAATTTTGCATTGGAAAGCCTAGGGCCTTTGATTTTGCATCAAGAGCTTCTCCCCGGCGCAGATCAAGCCGTGCGGCGTGCATGTCTGCAACCTGGGCATAGTGTTCACTGCAATTCTGCGCTAAGCTCAGTGTAAAGTGCATGCACATGATCAACTTTTGAAAGGTGTAGAGACTTGGTAAAAGTTTTTTGCAAACCGGCGGCAAATACAGCATGCAGGCGTTGATCATCGATCATACATGAGTTGATTAATTGGGCGATTGAATTTTTGGCATACGCGCCCAGGTTGACCCTGATCCAGGAAGGCTACTTCGGTGGAGACACGTTGTCTCTTGGAGAGCGACTACGTGTGGCGTTTCGGACTTCACTGCGTGGAGGAGGATGAATAAGATTCCTCAAAGGAGGTTCAAACCGTCGCAGGTGGACCGAAGAGATCATGCCTATTTGGCTGGGAAAGCTTGGAGCTCACGCATCATATTGCAGTGGCTGAATTTTAAAGCGGCCACGGCGCGCGACTTTGATGCCGGGCAATGCCGGGAAGCGGCTGGCGCAGGAGGTTCAGGCAGGTCGCAGGGAGTGGCCAACACCAAGCGCTGCTCCTTTCTTGTGTTCTTGAGCCATTGGCATCGTACTCTGGCTACAGTACTGTTGAATCCAGTGCATTTAAAACGAACGGGTGCGCAACACATAGATCGATATATCGAATTCGAAGTATGTGCGGTTTATGCTTTGTGGAGGTATTTGGGGTTCGCGCTAACCCTCCACGATCCAAGGCATGCCTTGGGATTGTTGGAGCGTGCTGGACGCTGTTTGATTCTGGCTTGCAATTGGCTGGGAATGGGGGTGAGCAACTGCCACAACCTCCGATGGAGGCAGCGTATCTAGAAGAAGATAGAAGAAGTAAACTGAAGGAAGCCGTAGACCAGGAACATGAGCTATACACAGACCATGCACCGCACACGCATACACATCACGAACCGCACAGACTGCCCACAAAAGCTCACCTCGCATGAAAAAGAACTCCTGAGCTTGGCGCCATATTCTATCCCTGTTCTCCACCCAAGGTGATGGCCATTCCCTCGGCAGGACCATGGAGAAGCTACTGCATGGGATCCAAGCATGATGCTGGAACACTAACGTCGGCAACACCCCACAGCACCAACACAGGGTTTCTGGGTAGTCACAGTCCTTGCCTGGCCCGCAGCCAGAGATTTCAATAGCCCGGCTGATCCGTCAGGGAACCCCGAAAAATAGCAAGGGCGGATTTGGTTGGGGATTGGAATTGCCCAGCTTGGGACCACCACATGTACAAGAGGTCAGGCACGATGTGGGGCGCGACTTCTGTAATCTACTGCCCTGCGTAGATATATACAAATTCCAGTCCAGTATATGCTACAAGAATATAGCTTTGTGTCCAAAGGTTCACAGAGTGCGAACTTGTATACACTTGCAAGATCATCTGAAGCTGCTCAGGACTGATGCAGAGGCCAGATCGATTCATGATGCCGGGATGGCCTTTGCAATGTGCATCTGAAGTTGACACGGCTGGCTCAGAGGCCAGCCTCAGAGATTCAACCCAACCTGGGATTCCACCTGGTCAGCAGGGTTTTCACCTGCAGGTGTTGGGGAATTGGCAGGCGTGCACGTGCTTTTTGCAAGCTGTTTTGTAGCACGGTCCATGGATTGCTTCTACCGTGTTCCACAGACAGACTGCGGCCAGGCGGAGCCGCATTAGTTTGGCTTTTGAAGCCGAAGCTGCACATGTTCAAGCATATGCTCAAGCGATGCTTGCGGTGGCGACTCTTAGCTGCCGTTCATGTCACAGTCACATAGGGTTCCATCCAGACTAGTCTATGCTAGGATCTAGTGCAGGTCGGTGACCTCATTTTACTCGATGTGGTCATAGTAAATGGGTCTTTGGACTTGAGATCATTTGGCAATTGTACAGCCAAGGGCACAACAAACATCAGGCATGCTTCTCGGAAGAGGACAGCATCGGCGTGCTCCAGCATGTGGCCAAACACGTTTCGGGCCAGCAGTGCGAGATGCGAGAGCTACTTGATGAAGGTGGCACGCTTGAGGCTACTTGGCTCAACATTTAGCAAAGTTACGATGCATGCGCAGTGTACTACATGTTTATGTGTGATGCACTTTATGTAAAGTTGAAGGTTGCAAAAAAATAATGCATGCGGAGGACCAAGTTGTTTGTATAGAGTTGCAGTTCGACATGCATAGAGTTTGCAGTTCGAGTGTCATCATGTTGCAGGATTGACATGGTGGCCGCGTGGAAGCGATGATCGGAGCAATGCTTAAGAAAAAGTGCTCGGAGAGCGGGTGGGCAGAGTTAGGCAGTAGTCCATATAGACATGTACTAGCTAAACCAGTATTGGTATACATGTATATATATATATGTATATTACAGTAGTACTTTATTGTGCTTTCCGAGGCAACCACTCCCACCTCTGATTGGCCAAAAGGGCGACTTCTGTTTTTGCAATCAAGCTGCTCTTTAAGCAATGCCTTGCCCACCTCTTCCGCAAGGCTTCAACCTCCATTGAGGGCGACTCCTCACAGCAGTCTTGCCCCGAGCCGAAGGATTTGGTGGATTGTTTCATTTCATGTCTCACGGAATCTCTGTGCCCATTTCGGAATTCAATTTAGTCGGATCATAGCCATCGAGAAGCATCACTTTCGTCCATTATATTTAGTCACTAATATTACTAATATCGGAACCTCACTACCTGACCTCACTCTCCAAGCATCCTTTTGAAAAACAGGTCGAAACGCGACACGATCCACTCCCGGGCCAAAGAATACGACATAGCTAATTACCCACATCGTCACGCGTGCATTGAGACCAGTAGCGGCCTCGAAACAAAAAGAGAAACAAACACATCCTGGCGCTTCTTTTTCAACGTCCTACGTCCTGATGACCAGGGGCATATGCCAACATGGTCATCCATGGTCACTCCCGTATTTCTCTCTCCTCCAGGTGTGATGATGTCAGGGGGGAGGCCGCGGTGCGGAGCTGCCCCAGGAGCTCTTCCTTGATCAACTGCCGTAGTTCCAAGACCTGAGAACGATCAAAACTACAATACATGTCCAATTGCAAACTCCATAACCCACAAAAAAAAAGAACCACAATTTGGGCCGGTTCCGGACTTGTCGTCTACCTATATAACTTACATATATATATATATAATGGCTCATCCAACTGCTCGGTACCAGTCCCAACGATCTGGGTCGAACAATATACAAACATATTAGTCTTTGTTGCTTGAAAGTAACGGAACTCCTTAGAACACTGCTAAGTCAATCTTGTACTCAAGATCTCTTTGGCTTGGTTTAGAGCAGGCCGTGCCCTTCCTGCCGTGGTGGCCGGTCACTTCGCAAGGAAAAGACACCCCCCTTGTGGCTGGTGAGTTGGGAAGCAACACCTTCTGGCTGACAGTTGCTGGTCGCAGGGGTTCATTCTGACAATTCCACTTTCTGTGAATCTGGTCCTCAATTTGGTCAATCTTCATCAGCGACAAGTGATTTCTTCCCATCGCGCCGAAACGAATTATTTCCCAGGCACCGAGTACTCGATGCGCGCCTGCTGCATGGGATCCCTCCGCTGGAGTCTCCGCAAGTGCCGTAGGAAGTCGCTGGTGCGGAGCTCAGACGAGTAGTCCGGCTTCAGCGCCACGCACATCCTGGAAAACGGATGTTATATAAGGTATCCCAAACACTCCATCTATGGCATATTTACATAGATTGGAGTGGTTTCAGGGGTCAGTGTAGGCATATATACCATACATGGAGCGTCTGGGTATAATCAGGTGTACCTTCTCCAAAAAATGACATGGCATTGGGCTGGTGGACGCGATTCTCTGGGAGAACCAGTGTGGAAAAATGACAAACGGTTTGCAAAACATACCGATGGTGGGAGGATGTGGGAGGTCTTGGTCAAGTCCAATCGATATCTGGAGAAGACCATCAAGTCCATTCGCCGCTAAGAGGTCCAGTGAGTCTAGTGAATCTGGTCTTCCAAACGAGGGAGATGGGGAAGTTGACGCTGCTCAGCAGCGCAGGAGCTTCGTGACCTAAAAGTCCACCGACGAAATGTCCCAAGTGTCTGCATTTCGAGTTCAATGCCTCTGCAAGCTACTGTGGACCTCTGCAATCTACGTTGTTGCTCCCCCTCAACGTCTTCCGCGCGTTTCACAAACTGTGCTGCAAATCCCCGGCCGCAACTTTGCGGTCTCCCCGACACGTTGAAAACGACCACTGATTGTTGGCTCCTTTCAAGCTGATCCTTGGCCTCAATGCCGGTGTGTTCTAAGAGTTGGCGAAAACGCACATCTTCCTGATAGGCCCGCAGGATAGCCGAGACCGACACACTGCCCCGCTTCATGATATCCATATCCTTAGTGGGAAGCTGGTGGCAGAACTGTACTAAAATGGACAAACATACATCATACAGTGACCCTACTATATAAATACAAATATATATATATACACAGTATATATAGGATTATATAATATAGGCCTCTTGATACTGCTCAAAATCACGGTTCACGAAATCAAGAAACTGGTGGCACTTGTCCTTTTTCGCCAGGTCTCGGAACACAGATCCGCCAGCTTCTGGATCCTCATGAAGTGCATGACAAGTGACAGTGATGGTGGAGAACACATCAAGGGCGTTCTTCTTTCGGTGCTTTGTTTCTGCGGGGGGTGAACTATTCAGCAGGTTTATTGGATCATAATGGGTGCTTCGCGATGCACTTGTTAGAAGTTTTGTAGGCTCCTGCGACCCGCATCTTGACTGGCTCCCATTTGCACAAGTGGTAGAAAGCTCAGAGAAACCACAACAGAGTCTGTCTGACCGTGACTGAATAAGTATAGTATCAGCACAGCCTTTAGTGCATATTGCTCGCTTCCATCAGTGGATGGGCCGGAGCTGACACCATTGAAAACTTTCCACAAACCAGGGCTTGCACTCTCTTTTACTTATACGACTATAAAGTTGTGCGCATTGGGGGCTGCTCTGGCAACACAAGTGACGACAAGCCTTGCCTTTGAAAGTAGAACTCAATTTGGTGAGAAAAGTTGTCCGTGATTTTCTAGCAAATGAATCACATGCGCATCAGGCTGTATGGTTGACATCCTGATGAGGCTGTCCCCAACCGCCTTCTCCGATATCGGGCCAAACGATCCACTTCACCGTCCGAATTCAGATGCCCTGCCAATCTGAAAAGTCCAACCTCACAAGTAGCCAGGTGCATGATCCAAGGAGCATGGATTCATGATCGGCCTCCGCTTGCTTCGCCTTCTTCTTCTGCTCCTTCCTTAATTCTGGCATACAACAAAGGCGCGAAATAAAGCAAGTAGAACAACTGCAACTTGGAACTCAGGTACACTTCATCTGCAACACGCTGGCTTGCCACGACTGAGATTCTCATATGCGCGCACAGCACATTCCAGGAAAAGCACTAGAATCACATTGGCCACGCCAAATACAACGCCTTAGGTCTGCCATTGCGCATGCACCAGCCCCAATACATCCAAATGTTAACTAGCATCTGGCACAAGCGCACGCATGTCAACAAACACCCTCACAAAGTCACAAACAGGTGGATTGCTTAAGGGTGCACGTGCCGTGAAGAAAATTGGAGGTGTTGAGCGGGTGCCATGGAATATATTTTCTAGCAGGGCATCCTTGATCTATCTTGATCTGCAACGTGTCAAACAAGTTTATTCAATAGAGTGTCATCATACCTGTTACCTGCAGTGTGGGAGCTCTCTGGGCCAAGTAACTCCCCGTGATGGCAAAGAACATCAAAGCGGTCCAAGGAGCTTGCTCGACCTGGTGACGCTGGGCCGGGTCCTTTGAGCTATGAATGCCGGGATGCTAGGCTCGGAGTAAGCTGGGAAGATCTGGGAAGGTTCAGTGAAACAAACAAGCTGATCCCCAAAAACACATCAAGCCTCACAGTTGAACACCAACCTTTAAAGTTAAAGTATTGACCTGAAAGCTTGTTCCACACCGAATCCCGACCTGGCTTCGAAAGACAATTAAAGTACGTGTCCACTGAAGCGGCAACAATTTTGACACAATAGGACATTGGTCAACCCTTTGGTCAACATGTTCTGTCTATATGGCTACGGCTAGGGATAAGCCTCCCTCAACTTCATGTTCCGAACTCCGTGTCAAGTCCTTGTGAATCCGGTTCACTCATTGTTGTTGTTTTTCTCCAAGCATCCGGCCAAGTCCTTTTTGTGATTTCATATCCTTTGCTCTTGACTGTTTGGGGCCTCTAGATGTCAGGCGCCACTTTGCATGTTATAGCTCGCAGTTCACTATGTTTTTTTGACCGGTTGGCCCATGCATGTACAAAGCAAACTGTTGTTCATCATCGCACATCTTACGAATGACTCGCGAACTGCAAACGGGCGCTTGATGCACCGGCAGGTAGTAGGCAAAGTCTACATATTTCATGCTGTTGCACCCCATTTGTCTGGTTGGAAGGGTGCAGGGCCATAATGAAAGCCACAATGAAATCAACATCCTAGAATGCCAGGACCTCAAACAGCATCGAACAGGAATCATGTGTCTCCATGTGTCTCCTATGTGTTTCCCACTCATCTGAGATCCCGGCCAGCTCGCTCGCCCAGGTCCCCTCGCGGGCTCCGAGGGTCACGCTCGCGAGGGTCACGGTGGCGCTCCACACATCGGCGAAGGCGGGCGAGCGACTCAGCACGGGGTGGAGGGTCTGAACCGTGACGATGGCCTTGGAGCCAGGGCGGAAAGAAAAGGGAATGAAGCCGAAAGGAATGGGGAAAATAAGAAACATCTATATAACAAAAGAAACCAATCAAGAAACCAATCAAAAAAGTGCTGAGAATGAGGATGATGATGCCTAAGGCCCAAGGGTCTTCATACACCTACTACAAACTCAAGCCACGTCTCCAAAGGATATCTTGTTCAATTTGCTAACGTCGGACATGTCTGGCAATGTCTCACGGAAGCTCGCAAAATCAGTTCAAACTATCCTCCTGTGCCGTCTGGGTACGAGTTGCTAAGTTGATGTTGGATACTGCAAGGCTTGATCCATTGAAATACATTATGACATCAGCTATTTTACATATAACAATATATTGGCATAACAAAAATGCTTTCACTGATCCGCCAAACTTTGTCATTCTTCAGCTTGGTCACCCAAAGGAAGAAAACAAACCCCACCAGTGCCAAAGCCTCAGAGTGCTGTGGTGACCATAAAGCATGCTGAAAAGCAAAGGAGCATTCGCATGCTTCACTCGGGTCATAGTTGTCTAGGATAACACATGAACCTCTCCGTCAAACACATCGACAAGGACCATGCTTGGTGGGCGATTGCAAAAGGTCCAAGAATATTCAAAGCTTTTCTACAATTGCTTGTGCGTGAAGCCCGCTGAGCCATGCCTGAAAGGCGGGTTTCAGGCATCGAAACGCTCTGGCTGGCACGATGCCAAACCCTGCTGGCTGAGAAAGTCGCAACAGAAACAAAGTCTGCCGTGCAAACAAACAAAGAAAACCCTCTCAAACAAACAGCACACACAACTTCTGCTCATGTGCTCAACCAACCAAACAAATAAACACAACATAACAAAACAAAACACCTTGTCTGCCTGGCAGCAAGTAACGCAGCCAAGGAACAAACAAGAATGCTTTCATACATGCGCAAAGCGCCAAGACCAAAAAATACAGCTCTGGTATCGCGAGCGCCTTGGAGGCAACCTACTGCCAGCAACAATCTCAAGGACCATTTGAAGTCTAGACCTGAACGATCAAGCTACACCAGCTTCATCTAGCTACGTGGACAATCTATCTCTATATATATATATGTGTGTGTGTGTGTCTATAATATGTTAGTAATTCTGGCTCAGGAACCAGGCGAGAGCCCCGGCATATCCGCAGAAGACGGAACGCCCTGCAACAAAGATCTGCAAGAAACAAGAAGGCGGAAGGATCCATGTGGCAAGAAGTGTGTCACATGCTGCACTTTCGCGACCCGGCTCGACACAACTTGAGCAAAGAGGTTTGCAACTCTCCATGGAGTCATCAGCTGTCTGTCTCCTCTTTCATCAGCAGGTCCTCGTCTGATTCCGCGTGATCTCTCCCTTTGGGATTTCCTACATGGCAGGGGCTGAGGATTCCAGTCAGGCTTAGTCAGGCTTAGCAGCTAAGCCCAAAATGCACCTATAGGCATTGGTATGCCCGAATTTCCTACAAAGCGGAGGACCTTGTCCTTCGATGCCAGGTCCCCGACGGCTGAAGCGCGCCCTCGTCGTTCGAGCCTCGGAAAGCGCCGTTCCACTCTGGGCATTCCAAAACGCGGCGCACCTGTGAGAGTGGAGTGACGGTCATCACACCTGGGGGATCAGCATCACATCGAACACTCGCCATGAGATGTGAAAAATCCACTGCGCTCAGCGTGCCGCGATAGATCTGCCCTTCGTATTCCAGCTCCACACGCTCTCCCAACTGCAAGGAAAATGAGCAAGAGTGAGAGAGCTGCAAGTCTTCTTGCGTAGGCCAGGAAGCGATCAGAATTCCTTGCTCGGACGTTCGTTGCGAGAGCAACACTGATGGCTCTGGGGCTCCATGGGCAGCGAAATGGCAAGGGATCAAATCCCAACTTAGAAAGTGCAGCATGGCGCAAGTGTCAACTTTTCCAGTATTCCGGGTGGATAGCAGTAAAGTTTCCAAAGCTTCACGATGCTCCAATGGAGCCGTCAAGTGCAGCCCTGCGATGCTTTCCAGTGGCCACTGAGCGACCGTGTGAAACTGGACCAGTCGGCCTCCAATGGGACCTTGAAAATCCACTTCGAAGATCTGCAAGTCACTGAGATCTACGGCATGGGCCAGCCATTGAAAGAAGCCTCGAAGCTCCTGCGATCGAAGATCTTCCGTGCTGGGCAAAAGAGTTTTGGAGATGCTTTCGCTAGTGCTAGCACCACGGCAACCATTGACGGCCTTCAAACGCATCATGAGCTGTTGAACTTCTAGCCTCTGGGCTCTTAATTCGGCTTGCAATTCGGACACCTCGTTGGACATCTCATCGAGAGACGCGTCGTCCTCTATCGATGCCTCACCGGCCATGTGGCAAAAGAAAGGCGGCCCAGCAATGGCGGCCCAGCTGTCCTTTGTCCTGAGCCTAGCCTGGAGCCCAAACCCAAACAAAACTCAGCCAAGCCAACGAAGCTGCGCTTCAACAAGAACCAATGCCTCAAAAAAAAGCAAGTCATGTGCACAAGGAAAAGCTGGTCATCCGGCTGGTGTGTTTAAACATGTCAAAATAGACTTGATTCTCTGCAGCCCCCGCCTCAAGAAGTTCAACTTCAGGGCACTGACCCAGATCTTCCCCGCCCAACCCACTGCCACCGTCGCGAGGTCGATGAGGTTCCAGCAAATACCTGCCCATAAGGATGAGGTTGGTAAAGATACTTAAAGGACCAATAGCTACTAGCTGCCATGCACTGCTGCAGGTTGGAACTGCAATCAGCAGAATCTAGCTTGTGAGAGCCTTATCATGTAGACTCTTGACTAATAACCTCTTCATATCAGGGGGGTTGACATGTAATGAGCCTACATGATCAATAATCTTGCTAAACATGGTCCGTTGCATGTGGCAAAAGGTTCTTTTAGGCCCTGACCTTGACCAGGCCAATGGAGCTTCGAGAAGCCTTCCGAAACCAACCTTCTGGTGGAGTGTGGCATGTACTGGGGGCAGATTCAGGTGGATGGTGAACATCCCCTCTGAGGTGTTCCCAGTGATGCCCAAGCCTGGAAAAGGTCTCCAAAATAGCAATAACATGCAACGTTGAGCTGAAAGGGTGTGCAATAGAAGCAGTTCCATGCTGCTGACATGGGTTAACGGTTAACGGTTATATATGTGCATGATTGTTCATATATTTATTCCAGCATGCCTTTAGCCTTCATAAAGCCATCTCAACCTCTGGAACGCAATACCCCAAAACCCCGCTCACCGGCACTGCTTGTCTCGAGTGAGTTCTGCTGACTGCATGGCTCCATCCGAGCTGCAAAGGAAGGAGCTTCCGTCCACATAGGCACGAGCAACACACTCCTGGGGCGACCAATCTGGTGAACGTTTTAACTTTCAATGTGATTCGTTTCCTCAGGATAACTATGGCGTCTTCAAGGTGACATTTGCTGGCCCAATGTGGATGTCCTTCCAGGTGTTTAATAGAACATGACCGATGGGAAGGCTATCTCTGCATGTGCTCATCCAGTGGGTGACACAAGGTAGTCCAATGCCCTGCAGGTTCACAAACAGCACTCCTTCACAACAAACGCAGCCACCAAACACGACGATTTTGGAAGCAACCCCAGGCAACCCATTGTCTGGAAACACATGGAAACAAACAATTGCGGAAGATTTACTCACAAACAAACTCCCGAAAAGCTTCCTTGGATTCACCTGCTCTGACCTGTTCTTCTAGATTCTTCGAGCTAATGCATGACTACTATACATCAAAAGGCCAAGGGGTCGCAACTCAAATGTCGTGCCCACACATCAAATCACATCAAGACTCGGCTGAGTAAATCAGGAGCAAGGTCGTATTGGTCACTTCCAGCCATCGAATGTGCAAAGAGCCTCATGAGTACGGAGGAGCAAGGTGTCTCATCTTCCTGCAAACTTGCAAAGATTTCAGAGTCTCAATCCAAAAACGTCCGTGGAAACAACCTACAATGTGAAGTCAAACCAAACCACATCCAAGATTGCCGTACCGATCCGGTGTAGCTCGGAAACCCTCCAGCAAAGTGGTCAAAGTTTATTGTACATGTGTTCTATGGAGAACGAACCAACGAAAACATCAAACAATACGCTGCCCCTCTTCCCAACGCTCTTCCCAACAGGTCACCTTTTCTATTGAATGTAATAGACTTTGGCCTTATTGGTGCCAAGAATTCTCATAGGAAGTTGGCACCCTTGCCGATCCAACCTGTGGCGGTCCTCCTGCGGACCGATTTTGTAACAGGCGTTGGCCAGTGATCGCGAGGAGTGTATTGAGATCTATTGAGCTTCATCCAAGTTATAACTGATATACAGTAATTGCACGGTGAACAACGAAATCAACATCTAACAACGAAATCAACATCTATCGTGGACAAAGAGGGTCTGACAGACCTACCATGCAGACTTTGCAATACACGGCTGATTATTTCAAAGTCAACTATGGAGGTAAATGCAACATCATAGTCTGCTTTGATTTATATATGTAGAGAGGCTTCGGTGTGTTGATAGACCCTTTTGCTTACTTTTGGCAATCTTGATATATAGATCCTTTTAGTGAGATCCTACACCCGGGAAGATTAACATGGAACCTGAAAAAAGATCCTACACGCAGTGGTTTTCAGGTTCTATGTTAATCTTCCCGGGTGTAATTACATGTGAATGGCCCATGCACAAAGGGCAAACAAAGTCCCGTGCCCAATGGACCACCATGCAATGATCTGAATATGCCAGCACAGGTGCTCACGGGGCAATCCTGAAATCTCGTCAGGTACCTTGGAGCAGAGTTGTCCCAAAACACATATCTGCAGTACAGCCACTGGCGAGAGACAAACCAATCCAAGGATCGAAGTTGATCGAAGAAAGCATACTTAATGATCCCATCAGTGGACACGAAAGCTGATGGAACGTGTCAAAGACTTTTGACAACTCTTTCCCCAGCTGGGGGACTTCTGCCGGATTCTCAGCTCCCTCAGTCTCCCTGGAAAAGAACCAAAAAAGGTTTGACAGGTCATCCAGATTTACAGTAACCTTTTTGTCCGACCTGCTTCCCACCGGTTCTTGTTTAATGGATTTTAATGGGGTGTCCGTGTCCCAATTTCAAAACAAGGTTCTTCATCCTTTAACTAGAAACTTCCTTGGGAATCGTGTCACCAGGAACAAAAAGCTAGGTTGGAGGCCATCGCTACTTGTAATAAGAAGCCTTGGTCAGTGGGTAGGGGTGGGCAAAACGCCTCAAAACCCTTGGGGTTGGCCTCACTCGGACCGCTTTCGGAGACTGAAGCCGGACGCTTCGCGCAACCGGAGACTATCCGCTGCAAGGACCGAACACCCCAATCACGCCCCTTGAGATGGTGATTGTAGTTGTGTACGAGATCAGCAACCACCAACTCCCTTAAGTGCGAGATCCAAGCTCAGCTTAATTGGACCTCGCAAAATTCATGTATATAATTGGACCCTGATGAAACACCTCATCAGCTGGTCTCTTTAATCTGATCCAGGGCGCTCTGGAAAGCACTTTGCGTCTGCGTTCACTTCGAAAACCTCAGTCAACCCGGAAGATATGTAAAGAAGCTTGCAAACAGCAAATCGCAGGCCTCCAGTAGCTCCACCATCCTAGGGCCCTCGAGGCAGCCGGTTCAGGAAACCCGATGGCCGTCCAATAGTGATAAACAGTGGCACACTGCTTCCGATAGAGAGGCTATGAGGACCAATTGCCTGTGTCAGTGGTTGTCATACATAAGTGGGATTTGCCTAAGAAATCGCGAACCACCTTTCCCGGAGGGGGATTTACCCATAGTGAAAGCCAAAAGAACCTAACCAAAACCAGGAGGATGGTCACAATCCAATACCACTGTTGTTTCCCCTTCACATGAGCTACGTATCTTGATGCACACTCATCTGCACTTTTCCGTATGCATATTAGGCCTCAAAGATGGGCTCCAGCTTAGTGGGTCTACAGCACACACCCAGGTTCTGCAACTGGGTGGTTGAACTGGAGCTGGACGTCGAAAATGACTGCCTCAAATCAAATCGCCCCCTAAGACCGAATCCTTTCCCCAAACTGCTGTTTCGTAATCCAGTCATTTGGGTACCACATGGGAGGAGCTTGAGGTGCCAAGGGTGAGGATGAATCAGCAAACTTCTTGAGAAAGGATACTCTTCTAGAGCATTTCCCAACAAAATTCCACACAAACATCGGCATGGTTTCTTCCATGTCTCGGGTCACTAGTCGCATCTATGAAGGGAAAACCAAATCAAATCCAACTCTATGACTCTATGCCTGAAGCCTGAAGCTCTTGACAGGGATTCTGCCTGCAAGGATGGAGGGAGCTCAACCTATTCCAAGATATTTCAGTCACAGGACATGTTTGACTCTGCTACACATCTGAAACCTCACAATTATTCCGTCAAATTCGTTTCAAGGCCTACCTCTACCCACGGGAGCCTGACTTGCCAGGCCGCTAGCAGCACCAAGCCGGCCAAGATCGCCAACACACTGCAGGCCTCGAAGTATTTGGAACGGATCAGCGTCCGTGCAGTCAGCCGTGAGGGCGACCAATGCCTCGAGGCGACGGATGGAAAGCCCTGGATTGATTCGCCTCTTAGGTTTGGTCGGTGCTTCATGGCTGACATCATCGATTGATGCCTCCTCCAAACTCGATCAGGTAGGAGGAGAATGTATGACATTCATGGTCGGATTAATATAGCACCTTCCTCGTTTTTTGGAGCTTGAAACCTCGCCCGGGAAGGTGGGACTGGGACCATTCGGTCGGGAAAAGAGATGCTCAGTGAAACTGAGCTCAACATGTCTCTAAAACGCGCAGCCCCTTGGTCTGTCAGCCGGCACATGCACGCGACTGCCGTTTTGACCTGGAACTGGACTTCCTCTCCAAAATGGATATGGGGTATGGGATAGAACAGCCAGTTCGGGAAGATTCACTTGCCATGTTTGGACTCCTGGCCACGTGTGTTTCACCATGGCAGCACTCTTCGTGGACCCTCCAAGAACCGTCTTCCAAACTGACCATGACGCACGTCTTCAGTCCGAGGAGCAAGACCTTCTCCTGCGGCGAATTCTCAATGCCCAACGTAGTAAAACCATGGTAAAACCCATGGATGCGCTGGTGTTTCTCGGATGTTGGGGCGGTCCAAGACTTAGATTGGTTGGGAGCAACTCTGGGTTAGGACAAGTTAAATACTCGAGATCATGTCCCCCAAAAGAACAACATTCGTTGCAAAGATTTGCAGCCCCTGTGAAACCTAGTCACATCTAGTCACTATATGGGAGCCTCCAACTTGACAAAGGACTGCTTGCCCGAGAGAACCCCATTGCCTCGAGGATCTTGCCGTTCAAAGGGGAAAGGGGCCGAAGAATCAAAGTCGACCTTAACCCTTGAAACTTTAATCTCTGCAATGACCATCTCACCCAAAAGCACGGTGGGTATGACAAAACAACGTACAACACCCACTTCACAGGCAAAGGATGGGTTTCAGCATTTACTGTTCTTCTAGAGACCGTGGAATGCTCTTGCCCAGTGTATCTGTCTTCGTTTGTTGCATGCTGCAACAGTATGCCTTTTCATCCATCACAGTTAGTGGTACCGTCCCCAGTTGCAAGAACTCCCTGACTTCCACAAGAACCGCAAACTGAGCTCTTCATTTCAAGCTCACTTTTGGCGTTTCGACATGGTTTTTTGAAGAACCCAAAAAAACGTTGCAACGCCTTTGATCTCAGCTTCCCGGAACGGTCCGCTCCGAGATCGGCCTCCAAGTCGGGTCCCAGAACGGTCCCCACGTCGGCACCCAGCACGGCAGAGACCGGAGAGGCCATGGCGCGACAACCACGGCTCGTGTGGTGACGCTTCAGTCACTGGTTGGTTGGTTGGCCTTGAGTATTCACCTCCATACAATACTATTCCAGGCTCTACTACTCAGAGTTACTCTGTTTCAATCAGTTATCATGACATGTCTGTCTTCACAGTGGACTGTTGCTTCATCCTCATGTAAAATTGCAAACACCATTTCCCAAGCCGCACATGGCTCCTAAGGCGCAATTCAGTCCTTGTCTTGTCAAGCGTACGAATGGAAGTCCTCCAAAACATGTTGCATGACATAGCCAGGTAACCTTAAATTGTCCTTTTCACGCAATTTCACCCTCTCGTGCCATGTCGTCTGTCATCACGCATGAGAAGCTAGAGCCTGAACATGCATTTCAAACACTCGAAATGCTTCCCCACTCGGTCTGAAGAGAACAGATTCCTTAAAGCTCAAACAAAAAACAGCAAAAAAATGTTCCCATACGACAGATTTGCTCACTCTTTTAGATGATGGCCAAGAAAATGCTTTGAAACCTTGCCCTTCAGGGGTCCTATCAGAAAATGAGATATTCACGAAGAATACAAACTGGTACGCTTTCCTTTCCGCCCGAGTTCAACCCTTTCGTTCATCTGGCAGCTCTCTGATGCCTTCGCCAGGTGTATCTGCACATCCTGGGGTGCTTGGAGGTGACCAATCAAATTTCCGCGCAAACCCTTCATATAATGGAACATCCCCGGTTTAAGATTCATGTCTGCGAGCTGGTTTTGCGCATCAATCGGTTGTTGTGTATAAAATGTATATATACACAGTATATATATATATACATATATTGCGTTTTTGAATGTCCCTAGTTCAATAACAACTGTTAAAGTAGGCCTGCAGTCATGTCTAGACTCTTGACTATGGTGACGATGATTCAAAACACTAGCCTTGCCCTTCCTAAAATGAACTTGGATCCAAGCCCTCAAAGAACTCAACCAGAATTCACCAGAGATATGTCTGCTCAAAGTTGGCTCAAAGACCTTAAGCCTTAAGCAATCACAATCACGCTACGACTAAAACACCACTGGCTTGCTTGGACAAACTGCGCAGCTCTGGTCCTGCAGCCTGTTCTGTTGGTTTTGCCTCATCCACGTGTCAATGTAAAAAAATATCTTAACAACTCTCTGACACTCTGAAGGCTGCAGCCGCGAATGAGCATTACCATAATGCTGCAAGAATTTCAAGTCTAGGCCTTGTCTTCTTTCTGTCAAAATAGAGTGCGTCAAGCACCCCCCTGACTATTGCAGCAATCAATGAGGTACTGGGGAATGGACGTTAGTCCAACCTGCTACTAAATAGTGTGCTGTTCACTTGCCTTGCGCGTAGCTGCGAAGTTTAACCGGCACAAGTTTAATCTGTTTACATTGGCGGCCCGCGGCTGCAAAGGAAAAGTTTTGTATACTGTATCAATGGATCCCCTGTGGAAATACCGGTGTACCGGTGTTCCTTGGGACGTGATCTTATAGTGGTAAAGCGAAAAAGCCAAGCTCCGAGGGCAGTTTGCCCCACTATAGAATCACATATCAACCTCCTGCAGTGCTGGAAACATGTTCTCTATAGAATGAGGTGCCTCAGGGCATTGGTGTTCATCATCATGAACAATCGATAGCAAAAATGTGAAAATCAATGACGTAAAGCCAAGATTGATACTGATTCTACAGAGAAGTGCGGGAAATATGAAGGATGAAGTTGATTTTGGAAAACACAGGAACAAGTTGCCCAAGAGGTTTGTTTTCATTGTATAGAGACATGTTTGCACAATGCAGGGTTGAAATTGATTTTAGACAAATGTTTGACAAAAGTGGCCCAAGAGGTTGGCTTACCATAAAAAGCATTACACAATCACATATCAAGCTTCAACACGTGCAAGCACTTTCTATAACATGACGTATCAACCTACCTGACCTCACAACAAACCATCCATTCTAAAATAAACTCTCAACCTTCTACTGCTCCAAATGCTTTCAACACTATAAAATGAAATATCACCCTACCTGACCTCACAACACACCATCCACTCCGAAATCAATTCGCAACCTTCTACTACTCCAAATGCTTTCTATACAATCAAGTGTTAGGACCTCTATAAAATCTGGTGACATGTCGTGCCCTCTCTATAGAATGAAATGCCGGCACCCATGTTGCGAGAACAAACTGTTTTTTGTTTTAAAGACCCCATGTTCAATATGTGGTGTTCTTCAGGTAGGTTGATATACATTTCATTCTATAAGAAAATTGTCTGTAAAATCTGAAGGTCATTTTGAGCTCAAGCTCTCAGATTCTATAGAGTTTATTCGGCAGGAGATATCGATTGTATGTTCTTTCTCGACCCGACCTGCTTTCCATTGACTGAAGCTCTGACGTTTTCTCAAGTGAAATTGATTGGGTCACCCCCACAAACAAAAAATCATGAAAGGGCACAAGGAAGCTGATCTTCAACTCCACCCTCCATTAGTAGGGATGTTCTCTGCATCCTGATGCAAAATCCATACACATCAATGGACAGCACATGTCAGCACTGTGGCCAACATCCAAAGGTTGTAAGAACCGTCGGCTGAGCATCTGGCAGGGCATCCAATGGTCTCAAGTCCTCAATGTCCAATGGGCACCCAAGGAGCAAATGCTGTGTTCTCTCATTTTGTGGACTCTATATAAAGTAAAACGTTTGAACACTCCTATCTACCGCATGTCATACTTGGGTCAGCTCCTGGTGACCTCCGCCTCAACAACCTGCAGCACCCGTCTCCTTCATCAGCCCCCGCACTGCCGCCGTCAGCGCACGAAAGCCTGCAGCTTTTCATAGCTTTAGGGTCGGCATTGGATGCCGCCAACACCCGAAAAGCCTTTTGAACTAGGGATCTTCGAGCAACCCAGGCTTGCTCAAGTGGCTTGCAGAACGCTTCTCCCTCATCTGTCTTGTGCATTTTAATCATCTGATATCATGCTTTAAAGTTTCTGGATGCCCCCCTCTTTCAGAAAAAGTCCTTGCCACCTCCTCCTTCAATTCTGAATGCCAGCAGAGGGTTCCACGTTTAATGAAGAAGGTGCATAAATGAACATGAATGTGGACTCTGGATATCATTCCACCCCCCAGGCCTGGAAAAGTTCTAGAATCCATGTCTGGAGAAGTTTTATAGACAGTTTTTTCCATCAAAGAGTCTACATTCTAAACAGCAGCTGTTCTTAGACTCCCGATGACTGCCCGCCATGCGACCTGAGAGCTGTTCCTGCAAGGCCTCCTGCAAATCCAACGCCTGAGAGCTGTTGCCCGGACCGGGCGCAGCGAGCGACTGCTTGGTTGACCATCTGCTCAAAGAGGTGGTCATCTCACTTTCGCATGAGAGGAGGTGCATTCGTGCTCCATACTTGTGGCTATGGAACATAGTGGCGGCTGGCCAATTGAGTGGTAGATCCGTGGGTTGGATAGAATATGTTGGAATATGCTATGCCGATCATGGTTGATCTATGTTTATATAATACTATCTCCTCAAAATCGACACTTGCCACCTTGTTTCATGTCTGACTGGTTGCTTGATACCCCTCGCTTGCGCAAAGGTACACCAAATGGAGATCCCCGCAAGAGGTGCTTTGCAAACATATTAGCAAACAAGAAACAATAACAACATAGATGCGCATCACAGTTGATGACTTCATTATTCTTTCCCTCTCTCTCTCTCTCTTAACCTAATCATGTTCAAGTCGGTCCAAGACCAAAGAACAACTTGCCATGTCTTCCCTCTAAATCAGCCAAGGCCGGCCATCCTCCGAACGCCATCCTCCACAACCTCTGAATGATCACCTTCCCAAAGCTAGTCCGAACGCCCCTGGAGCTGAAAAAGGGGATGCAACCTTTCCCCTTCCCGTCCTAGTGCCCGGAGCGGGCCTTTCCCCATCGCAAGGCGCAATGGTTGCTCAGTCGCCGGGCCATTTGTTGAATCTCAGCCGCCCAAGCGATCAAAGCCTGCAAGATCTGGTCCTGCAGGCGTCGGCGTTTTCGGTCTCGAACGCATGGTCCAGGTCGTCGAACGCCATTTCGGTCCAACGGTATGGTGGTTTGTATGCCTGGCATTGCCCAAGTATTTCCCTTATTTATTGAACAAATATACATAATATAAAATATACAGCAAAATAATATAAAGGAGCAGGAACACGAATCCAGGAGACTCCTTCTCTGCGCCGCTGGTCTTCAGAGCATGGACGGCCTCGAAGCGCCACCACAAACTGACCAAATAAACAGTGAAAATGCTTGAAGAATCCTTCTGACTACTAGTAGCAATGGCCTCCACCCCGGTAGCGATGGCCTACAACGTAGTAGCTTCTTGTTACTACTAGCAATGGCCTCCAACGTAGTAGCTTCTTGTTACTAGTAGCAATGGCCTCCACCCTTGCAGCAATGGCCTGCAACGTAGTAGCTTCTTGCTACTAGTAGCAATGGCCTCCACCCTGGCAGCGATGGCCTACAACGTAGTAGCTTCTTGTTACTAGTAGCAACGGCCTCCAACGTAGTAGCTTATTGATACTAGTAGCAATGGCCTCCACCCTAGTAGCGATGGCCTCCAACATAGTAGCTTCTTGTGACTAGTAGCAATGGCCTCCACCCTAGTAGCGAGGGCCTCCAACGTAGTAGCTTCTTGTTACTGATGGCAATGGCCTCCACCCTAGTAGCGATGACCTCCAACGTAGTAGCTTCTTGTTACTAGTAGCAATGGCCTGCACCCTAGCAGCGATGGCCTCCAACGTAGTAACGTCTGGTCACTAGTAGCGATGGCAAAGTTACTAGTGGCAATGGCCTCCACCCTAGTAGGCGACGGCTTCCAACGTAGTAGCTTCTTGTTACTAGTAGCAATGGCCTCTACCCTAGTTGCGATGGCCTCCAACGTAGTAGCTACTTCTTGTTACTAGTAGCAGTGACCTCCCCCTGGTAGCGACAGCCTTCAACCTAGTATATAGCTTGTTTTTACTAGTAGCAATGGCACCCTGGTAGCGATGGCCTCCGACCTAGTAGCTTCTTGTTACTAGTAGCAATGGCCTCCACCCTAGTAGCGATGGC